TCAAAACCAACAAGCTGATGTTTGTATAACAAATTCTTGAGAAGAAGTTTTGCTTTACATATAATCAGCACATGCAATTGAAATAATGCACCCACGGCTCCACCAAAGGCTACTGAAGTATTAAACACAATAAAAACACGTAATAAAAGTCTTGGCCCAGATTTCAATTTCTTTCAAATATTAGTGGAAATTCATCCAATAGTATGTTCTTATCGGTTCACTCATATGTTCATGATATGCAGATTACCTATGCAACATATTTTGTTGTCAAAGGAAAAAAACCGAAATTCTGGGGATACTGACAGCCATTTATTACATCTTTTCTGATGAAGAGTTATATAGACTTTGGTTAACATCTACTACATGAACAACTTCTAAAATAACATAATGCATTGACAATAATATATGAAAAGTGAAGATTTAAAACTTCTCAATGATTCAACGAATGGTGCAGCCAAAAAAAAGGACTCGTACTGCTTTAAAAAATGAAAGTAATTTTTAAGGGCTATTTAACTCTTGCACAACTTAAAAGTTTCAGTAGCATTTTCTGCATATCAAATCAACTCTGGTAGCTACTGGAGAATGCATACGATGTCAGAAGCAACTAAATAATTGTTAATAGAGGCTCTCCCATCAAATTAAGCCAATCAGGACAAATTTGCTGTTTTGGTTCATTCAACCGAAATTGGCTAATCGGGCTTAACAAACCTACGGGTTATGTATTATGGAATAACCCAACTACAATATTAAATTAGTTTGAATTAGGTACATCAAAGATTTCATGAATAGAGGATTACATAAGGGACTAAAAATGCACAACAAGCATTCAGAAATACCACATTGTCAAATTTGCCCGACTACCTCCTCTTCCTGGTACATCATGGCCAGCCCATTCTTAAAGGACTCATCTTCCTTACAATGTCCTTATCTCCAAAAAGCGGGAAGGATAAGGCTTTTCTTAGCTCATCTTTGTTGTTTAGACAGTTGAAAAATTAAAAGCTTGTTAATTTTTCTCTCTTATATCTAGAAACATAAGAGCCATGTAAATATAATTGTATTATTATTCATAATAAATTTTGACTGCTTTTAAGTTTTCTCCACTCTCTCTCTAGCAGACCAATTTCTCTCTAGATCTGTATGGTGAAAGAAACAACTTAATTGTTGATGTCTTAGAATGGTGATAAAAGGGATTTGAAAAAAAAAATATTAAAATCAAGAAAAAAAAAAGAGAAAAAATTTGGGCAAAAAAAGAGAGACCTTCTCCCATCCACTATTAATTCCATCGTGAGTGCTCCCCAATTATCCTTGGTTTCCCCCAAGGTTTGCAACCACTTCATCCCCAGGATGACATCAGTGCTTCCTAATTCTAGTGGGAGAAAGTCCTCCCTTACTTGAATCCCCTGGATGGTCAACACCACTCTTTTACAGATTCCCTGGCCTTTCTCCACCTTTCCTGTACCCATCATCGCCCCATAATAACCGATGTCCACCAATTTCACTCCCAGTTGGTTGACGACCTGAGTGGAAATGAAATTGTGGGTAGCCCCACTATCAATTAGCCCCACCACCTCATGGTCATCTATCTCTTCTTTCACTTTCATAGTGTGACTCGGAGTGAATCTCACTATAAAGTTCAGAGAGACTTCTTCCACATCCAGGTGCAACTTCTCCTCCTCCTCTTCAGATCTGCTCCCACCTCCCTCCTCGTCTTCCTTGTCTTCACAGACAAGGAGAACGTGAAGAGTTCGGTCCTTACACCTATGCCCTGGCATGCACTTCTCATCACATCTGAAGCACAACCCCTTTGCCCTCTTCTCCTGCATCTCCTTCTCTGTCAGTCTCTTGATATTTTCCCCACTCCCTTCTACTGGCTTCTCCCGGGTGGTCTCATTAATGTTGTATGATGCAGGCCCCTTGGGTACTAAAAGAGTGGTCATCGTCCTGTAAGAGCCTCCTGAGCAGTTTCCTCGAGCCCCTCTTTCAGACTTCTTCTGGTCTTGCACCAACTGGGCCAACTCCATGGCCTTGCCTAGATTCCTTGGCTCCAACACTCTGACTGCTGTTCTTACCTCCGGTTTCAACCCCTTCATGAAATTCCCTTCCAGGGCTGACTCCTAGATATATAATCCATCCTACTAGCCAGATACTCAAACCTGTCCCGGTAATCTGCCACCGTGCCTTCCTGGGTAAGGGCAAATAATTGCTCATAGAAGACTTCTCCCTCATCAGCTCAGAAACGCTCTAATAAGCATTCTTTGAACTCCCGCCAGCTCCGGATAGGCTCTCGTTTGTCACGCCACTAATACTAGGCTAAGGATTTTCCCTCCAAGCACATTCCCGACGCTGTCAATTTCTCCTCCTCCGTCAGCCCATTGACAGCAAAATATCGCTCCACCTTATAAATCTACCCATGGCCATCCTCACCCCCAAAGATGGGCATCTTCAGTTTCCTCACCTTTGGATCTCCTCCGTTTCCCTGGTATCCTCCATAACCTACCATTCCTCTAAGGGGAAGAGCTCCCCAAGTGTCCCGATCATCCCTCCGACGATTATACTTTAACCCCTCTTCATACTCTCCCCTTCTTCCTTCAAAATCAGCCCCTCGACGCTGAATTCTTTTGAATTCAGCACCTCGGCGATGCAATTCCTCCCTTCCCTTTTCAAAATTAGCACCTCGACACTGAATTCTTTCGAATTCAGCACCTCGGCGATGAAATTTCTCTCTTCGCCCTTCAAAATCAGCACCTCGACACTGGATTCTCTCAAATTCAGCACCTCGGAGAGGAAATTCTTCCCTTCTTCAGACAAAATCAGCCTCTCATTTGTCATATCCCCTACTCATCTCTTCTCTAGAAAGCGGTTCTAGAGGGGGTATGTCATTCTCCTCCTCCAGGATCTCCACCTCCGAATTCCTCCTCCCTCGCAACGGGTTTGGATTTCCTCCTATGCTATGGCCATCAGTGGTCTCTCTTACTTCCGATGTCGCCGGATTGGTCTTCCGTTCAAGTAACTTCTTCATCATTTCTTCCATAACAGTGAACTTCCCTTCCAATCTTTCATTGTTGGAGGTGATTTGATTTTGAAAATCAAAAAATTTTTCCTCCAGATCTGATTTTAACTGTCCCAATTCGTCTTCCAATACTTCAACCTTCTTTCCGGCCATCGTTCTTCCCCACGGATCTCACGTAACTCACTTACGGAAGCTAAAAGCTCGCTGAAAATTCAGAATTTTATCTGCCTAAGGTCCCAAATCGGCGCTCTGATACCAATTTGATAGGAAATACTTGTATTCACAAGCAAACCTAACCAAAATAAAGTACCACAACAAGAAAATTGTTGTCCACAGCAGTAAAACAGCCAAAACAATGTAAAATTTGGAGGAAAACTATAGGAAAAACTCAAAGCACAACTTGTATTCCACTAGACGATGAATAAAATAGCAAGATATAATTGATCCTCAATTCGAGAGGAGGATCGATCTCTCCCAAATCTCTAGACGCCGCTAGAGCCCAAAGAAAACCTAAATCTAAGTGATCTCAAATTTCAGCCAAATTCAAGATGATCAAACCCTAGGAAAATCAACTATTTAATGCATACAAATGAAAAGGAAATCCCTAAACAGTCCCTTCATTCAAATTCCCTCCTAATATTCCTCAAAATTTCTTCCTAAAACGCTCCCGCAAGGCGAGCGGCTCTCACAACCTCTGCCCAGGCGGAAAACTTTCGCTGTTTTGCGTCTGTACCGATCCACTGGACCGGTCTAACACTTATTTTTCTTTTATTCATAGAATTATAAAGAACCCAAGAGTTTCTCAATTATCATATCCTATAAGTCTTTGGTTTCTTCAATAATGACTACAATATGATCGAACTTTGAATCTAAAGATCGAAGGATTTTCTCCATAATCCTTACATCTTCTAACTTCTCTTCATTTCTTTTTAATTGATTAGAAATGGCTAAGACTAGTAAAGTAGTCGGAAACGACTTTGACTTTTTTCATATGTAAGCCTTCAAACTCACCTCTTAATGTTTGGATACACCTTCTTGACTTGCTCTGCTCATTTATAAGAGGTCTGAAGCTTCTCCATGCCTCTTTGGCAGACTTCATATCAAAAATCTTCTCAAAAGCATCATCATCTAATCCTTGAAAGATTAGACAGAGAGCCTTCTTGTCTCTCTTCCTTGAATCACTTAGACATCCTTTTGAGCTTGGGATAAACTTGACTCATCTTTGTAGCTCATTATAGCCTTTCTCTACCATCTCTCATACATCTTGTGCTCGAATAAAGGTCTTCATCTTTATGCTCCAATTGTCATAGTTGCTATTGTTGAGCGTTGAGACTTGGAAGGGGATCATATCGTTGCTCGCCATCTCTCTAGAAAGAAACTTCGTCACTGATACCACTTTGTTGGAAAATAAGAGGCCATTTTAAGAGAATGAATTCTAAAAGAGAAGAGAAATACTTATAAAACTCACTTTTTATTTCACTCTTATACTTCTTGATTTTTCTTCAAACAAAACACAAAGACACCACACCTATTTATACTAGTGACTCCTCCATTAGGATTGCGCCACCACATTTCAATCCAATGGCTACTATTAACTCTCTAAAATATTCTCCTATCTTCATTTACAAAAGTCATTAATTACATATTCTAGAATTCTCTAAATAACTCTTTTAGAATATATTTTAGAATACTCTAAAACATTCTTCATAAAATAGGACTCTAGAATTTTCTAAGGACTTTTCTAGACTATGGGCTCAATTAAAAGGCCCAATTAATCAAGTTTAATTTCCAACATTAACATGCTCACTAGGTAGCATGAATGCACATGGTTGGATAAACTCCAAAAATAACCAGTTATTTGGATTGAGAGCATGAAATATCAATAATAAACAAACTTCCTATATGCAACTTCGATAAATTTATGTCTCGTGTGATAGAAAACTTAAAGAAATCTTTCCCAGAATTTAAATTCTGAAGATTTTCTGCTCACCATATAAGCGGGCCAACCCTGCTGCACAGGCATTATCCCAAGGGAAGGTGGAAGGATAACGGGTATATATGCTGCAAGGTTTTGCAAGTGGTGACTGGACGTATAAGTGGGTCTGTTGGACAATGACCAACTTGAAACTCCATCAACAAAAGGCAGCCTAGCTGTAGATGTCATTGAAGGTATTGTAGATCCAGAAGTTGGAGACCCATTTAGAGGAAGAACAGTCCAAATAGTAGCAGGCTGTGGATGATTGAACTTGCAGACAACTCCAAATTTACAAGTTCCGGTTCTCATGTAGTATGAACATGATTTCTGATCCTGACAGAATTTGAAATGCATGAGAAAACAATAATTGATCATTTACTCGGCATATAACAAATCATCAACGAGTATAAAGTCTTCAGATGAGCCATTGCATAGGAGTGCGTGAAAGAGTTCAGCATTGCAAAAACTCAGAGAAAAGGCTGACGGGCTTCAATCACCTGGCGAATTGGAAAACCCAAAACATTTACTAGCACGGGTTGTGCATCAGGTCTGTCTCGTGGATGGTGATATTTGCATGCTGCTCCAAATTTGCACATCCCTTTCTTTAAAAAATGCTGCAACAGTGCTAAAAGCATATCAAATAACATGCATATCTTTATATATCCGCATATATATTATTCAATCAGATAATAAGCGTTAGTATGTATTTTGCAAAAAGAGCATCAATAAAAGGCAACATTCATGTAGCCAACTACATATCTTTTTACATTAAGAAAACAATACATTACATGTTAAACACATGATTGAAGAAACAGATTTTAAACAGTATTAGAAATTGGTGGCATAAGAGTAACTAATTAGACCAAATAGAAATCAATTTGTGCAAGCTTCATGAACTACTTTATAGTTTTACTATACCCAAAAGATTTTAAGGAAATATAAATAGTAATATGATAGGAAATACTTGAGTTCGCAAGTAACTCCAAGGGTAATACTTGAGTTCGCAAGCAAACCTAGCAAGATTGGGTGGGAAACAGTGAAGATAACTACTGTTTACAGCAGTCAAATAGCAAAAAACAACAGATTTTCTTAGGAAAACAGAGAAAACTGAGAGAAACAATGAGGAAATCCACTAATAGATGAAAGAAAACAGCAAACGATACAAGTTACTTCAATTTGAGAGAAAGAAACAGCTCTCCAAATCTCTAACCAAGCCTAGAGCCCAAGAACACAAACCCTAGAACTCAAATTGCTTTTCAAATTCAAGATGAAACCCTCATTCTACCCCTAGCACCTAATTAAAACAAAAGGATATAACAAAATCCCTAAACAGCCCCCCTAATTCAAATTTCCCTCCAAAATACTCATTACATTAATTGCTTGGGCCCACTAGGCCAACCTCCCCCCTTTCCATTGGTTCCGCCATCCCCCTAGGCCGGCGGCAATACACTTGAACAGGTCCAGGTTAGACCAGTTCAGCCGGCCTAACATTACTCCCTTCCCAAAGACCCACCTTGTCCTAAGGTGAAAAGAAGGAAACTGGAGCCTCACTCTCTCATATGGCTCCCAAGTGGCATCGAAATCGGAGGTCCCTCCATCTGATCAGCACTTCTTTGTTTCCCTTTTTGTCTAATCGACCTCCCCTCAACTCCAGTGGTTCTAGAATCACTTCCAAATCCTCTGTTAGTGTGATTGGCAACTTTGCACAAACTGCATGCTCCCCTAGGTTGCACCGATACGGATACGACACGATACGGATACAGGACACGCCAATTCTTAAAAATACAGGATACGGATACGGAGTGAATATAACATTATAATATATAAATAATACATAAAAATAAAGAAAGTAATCAAAGTGTAATACTTGAAATGACAAAAAATTTGAAATAAAAGTAAGCATTAAATATTTAAATGTCTAGTACAACAACAAAAACAAGAAGATAAATTGTCCAGCACATGAAATTTCAACTATTCAACAGAAGGAATTATAGGATTAACTTCTTCAATGGTTTTTCTTTAAGTTTCTATATCATCTTCAATAAATATCATAGCTTCTAATTCAAGCTCATCCAGTGAAAGATTAGCAATTTCTAATATTCCCATATCCTCAAGAGATTCAAATCCATCTCCAGCAACATCCCACATCCTATTGTCTCCTTCCATATAAGTTGGAGTATTCCTTGAGAGAAGCCGAAGGTTTGTATGCACATAAACTAAATCTTCAGCCCGTTGTGGAGTAATTTTATTTCTCTTCATTAATTGGATGAACGAGTATGTACTCCAATTTCTTTTACAATAAGATGAGGATGAAACTTGACCGAGCAATTTTATGGCGATTGTTTGAAGTAGAGGCGCTAAAACTCCATATATAATCCACCACATTTTCGGATCAATTCTCCACCTATCACGCAATGACTCTTAGTCACCAAAGTCCTCTAAATAACCAAAAAATTTAGCAAGTTCAATATTGACACTTCTTCTCTCCTCATTTGAAAAATAACGCTTCAAACATGTCATCCTCATATTTGAGATTTCTAAATCTTTCTGTAGAGAAACTCTTTGAGGATCCTTTTGAAGCAATTCTTTAGTTGAAAATTTTCATAAAATATTAAAATGAAATAATAAAAAAATGTGAAATTATTAAACAACAAATTGTGAATTAATAATGAAAAATGTTGAAATTTACCTAGGATTTAGTGAGTGAGCCAAGAAATGTAAAGGTGTATTACTTTTGCTCCACCTATCTTCTAGAATAGCATAAATAACATCTCAAAAGCTTGAGTCTTCATGAAGTGTCTTCCTCTCATGTCTATATATAATTTCTTTTACTTTGGCAAGCAATGAATCTCACATCTCATAAATGAGATGTAAACAAAACTTATCCGTATCAGCTACTCTCAACATCTCATAAATTGAATCTATGAAATTTATGATGTATTCGATCTCATCCCACCATAAATCATCTAAAAGTTTCTCCTTTATATATCTAGCCTTTCCAACATCATCTTCCCTATAATATGAATATTTTTCACTGATCACCATAGCTTGAAGAGCATTTTTTATTTTTTCGAATCTTCTCAACATCACTATAACCGAGGCAAACCGAGTTTCAGCAACTGCAAGCATCTTCAAATTGAGAAGTCATTAAACATAGATAGTCTCATGGAGTGATTCATAATAAAATTCCTAATTATAACTGCATCTCCAGCAATCACTATTATCCAATGACATTCATTGAAGGTGATTTCGTTTGTCTCGGTATTCTTAGCTGCACAAATGTTCTTCAAGGCAAGATTAAGCATATGCACAACACATGGTGTCCAATAAATATGAGGATATGCTTGCTCTACAAGTAGACCTGCAACTCTACAAGCAGGTGTATTATCAATAATGACCTGGATGATGTTTGAAGACCCAACCATCATGATAACTTCTTTGATTAAAATAGAAATGAAGAACTTATCGTTGTACTATCCTTCACAATTTCCAGCTTTGATAAACATAGCATAGCTCTCTGTTACAGCCATGAAGTTGATAAGTGATTTTCTTTATGGATCTGTCCACCCATCACAAACCAAAGTAACTCATTTTTCCTTTCAAACTCCTCTAGTAGGCTCGAGCAACTTCTCAATATTATTCCTCTCTCTTTGCAACAACTTCGTTCTAATGACATTATATCCAGGTGGCACGTATCCTGCAAGATTATTATTACATCCATAGGTAAATGCATTCTTGTAATGCGGATTCCTTGCTAGGTTAAAAGAAAGTCCAGCTGAGTAAAACATTCTAGCTATTTTCCCATTTAGTTGTTTGTGGGCTCCGAAAATTCGGCCCCGGCCTCCGCTCGCTTTTTCTTATTCGGCGAGGGAGTTTTAACGAACTAGGTTCCGAGGTAAATTTTGGAAGGCAGATGGGTTTGTAGATAAGACACTACCCAGAGATTTCGCCCTCATCTTGCGAGGACTTTATAATCTGAGTTCTGGTTTCCTATAGGCGCAAGCCCCTATAGTTAATTACCCCTCCCGATCACGAGAGAGAACTTTCGATTAAGGCTAGTCATCAATCAGATACGTATAGAATACACGTTATCTGGCATATAGTAGCAGCAATAGGTTTGAGATATTGAGAATTTGGATTTGGAAATTGAGTAC